TCCTGTTCGAGGAGCCATTGACATAAAGGCTCTAGGTCAATAAGTTTTGAACAGTTTCTTGGGTGACTTTGTTAGCTTACTGCTCGAATTCCTGATTTGGTTGATATGAGAACTCTGAAATGAAATCAACAATAGCCTGCCGTTTAATGGTTGCTTTCGGTCTATAATGTAGATCGAACTAACTCGGTTCCATTACCCATTTGAGTAACTTACCCGAAGCCTCTAGCTTCTGAAGGACTTGCCTAAGTGGATAGTTGGTCAAGACATGGATTGTGTAGGCATGGAAGCAAGGTTGCGACTTTCTAGAGGCGATTAGCAGGGCATAAACTAATCACTCCATTTTTGGATACCGTATTTTGGCATCCAACAGTCGCTTGCTCGTGTAGTATACCAGCCATTGGACTCTGCTTTCCTCCCGAATGAGAGCTGCACTGACCACATTCGGAGAGACAGATAGGTATAAGAGTAGGATTTTCTTGGGGAGAGGCTTGGACAAGAGAGGTGACTTTCTGAGGTACTCTTTTATGCTCTGAAAAGCCTGCTCACAGTCCGAAGTCCATTTGAACTTTTTGTTGGCCCTGAGTATATTGAAAAATGGCAAGCAGTGATCTGTTGCTCTTGATATCAAGTGACTAAGAGCCATTATTCTCCCATTGAGACTCTGAACCTGTTTTCGGTTAGTTAGACTTTTCATATCAAGGAGAGCTTGGATCTTCTCGGGGTTGATTTCTATCCCCCTTTGGTTAACCATGTACCCCAAGAATTTTCCCGAGGATACTCCGAATGAGCACTTGAGAGGATTGAGCTTCATTTTGTACTTTCGGAGTATGCTGAACATCTCAGCGTGATGCACTATGTGATCTAAAGCAACATGCGATTTGACCAGCATGTCATCAACATAGACTTCCATCAATTTTCTAATTTGTTTGGAAAACATTAAGTTAACCAGACACTGGTAAGTCACCCCAACATTTTTTAAGCCGAAGGGCATAACCTTGTAACCATACATCCCCTGATCTGTAACAAACGAGGTATGCTCTTCGTCTGGTACGTACATCAGAATCTGATTATATCCCGAGTAGGCATCCATAAAACTCAACAACTCGTGCCCAGAGGTGGCATCGATGAGCTGGTCGATTCTTGGCAAGGCTATCTTCGGACAGGCTTTGTTGAGGTCCGTGAAGTCAACATGAGTTCGCTACTTACCGCTAGGTTTCTTTACCAAGACCAGGTTTGCAACCTAGCTCGAGTAGAGCGCCTCTCAGATGGACCTGTTCAAAAGAAGCTTATCTACCTCAACTTTCAAGGCAGCATATCGTTCAGGGTCTATTGCTCTTCTCTTTTGGCAAACCAGCTTGACTGTACTGTTAATATTCAGTGCATGGCATATGACATTCGGGCTGATCCCAATGATGTCAGCATGAGTCCAGGTGAACACGTTGACATTTTCTCTAAGGAAACTTGTCAGGTCTTGGGCGAGTTAGGGGTTGAGATTACTCCCGATTCTCAACACTCGGGTCAACTCATTTTGGTCGACTGACATCTCAGATAAATCCTCGATTAGCCCAATGTGAGGGCATTCCTAGATGCGAGGATCCATGTTATCCTCGACCGGGTCAGGCTGTGGCTCAAACCTACTAATCGCCATTGCCTGTTCGGGGATGCCAACTAGTATTCCTCTTCCCTTGCACGCCATTTGCACTGCTCTTATATAGTAGTCACCAGATTCACGTTGAGATTCGCTTACTTCCCTTATCCCCGTCGGGGTGGGGAACTTCATTTTCAAATGATAGATGGAGGTAAGCACCTTGAAGTTTCTCAGTAGAAGTCATCCCAAAATTCCATTGAAGGAGGACGAATTGTCTATTACCAAAAATTTCGTTATTTTGGTCATTTCATTGGTTTCTCCCAACGTGACTAGTAGTGAGATTAATCCTTTGGGAATTAGATGATCCCCGGTGAAACCATAAATGGGGATGGAGGCAAGCTTCAGGTCTACCTCGTCCAATTGCATTTTCTTGAATGCTCGCTGAAATAGGTTATTCACGGCGCTCCAATTGTCCACTAATATCTTATGGACTTCACACCGACCTATTTTAGTCGCGATGATGACAGCATCCTCATGGGGATGATGCAATCACACCGTGTCTTTCTCAGAAAAGGTGATCTCCTCATTTCTGTGCACTTTAGTGGGTTGCAGTGCCGTGCTCATCACACTCAAGGGGTCATGGCGGGCTTCCCAAGCATATCTCTCATGGGCACCTTGACAATTCCTTACGAGGTGTGGTCCTCCAAAGATGATTTCCACACAATAGAGTCTTTTGTGACCATGACACTTCTTCCCTGGTTCCTCTTAATCCTTCTCCCGAACGGAAGTTGGGCCATTAACATATTCTTTGAAGTGCCCCTACTTGATGAGGTCTTCGATTGCCTGCTTGAGAGCTCGACACTCATCGGTGTGATGCCTATTATCCCTATGATAGCGACAATACTTTTTATTGTTTCTAGCTGAGGGGGGATTTTTCATGGGCTCTGGCTCTTCGAGCAAGCCAACCTCCTCTGATTTATCCAGAATGGCTAATATCGAGGCATTTAGAGGAGTGTATTGATTCTTGTCGTGATCACAACGAGGAACAGAGGCATAAGATTTCTTGGGCTCAAACCGCAGCTTCTTTCCTTTCTGATCGTCATTAGCCCATCTGCGATCAGTCCTCCTATTCTCTCCGCGGTTGGGAGCACTGCTTGATGGATTGGGGTCGTGGAGATTGAGAGCGGCCATGAAATTTTCAATTTGGAGGTATCTTTTGGTAAGGTTGTAGAAGCAAGTGAGGGAAACATCGTCCTTTGATTGTAGTTCCTTCCACAAATCTGTCTGCAGGCAAACTCCCATGATAATGAGAGTCCGAACAGACTCTTCGGGAGTATGAGCCACTTTGTAGAGTTCCTTATGGAATCTTTCTATGTAAGATTGGAGGGATTTCATAATCCTAGAATTATACTGTTTTATTTATGCTTTTTAGCTGGATTATGGATACTTCTTCTTTATTTTGTGCCTGAATTGCTACCTAATTTCATTTATTTTACTTTTCAGGCCAAAACGTGTAGTTAGAGCAAAACTGAGCGGAATTGAGTTTCTGTACCCAAAATCAAGCGAATTACAGGATTTGGGAAGGTTCTGATACGGATTTGAAGCACTATGAAGCTTTTTTCTATTAGAGATCACAAAGATTGAAGATTCAAGCAAAGAGCAAGCGGAGGGCAGTTTCGTAAATTCAGAGTAGTTCAGAAAAGTTCGCCACGGTGAAGTATATTCTTCACCTCAACGAGAAACTCTCGAGTTAGATAGTGAAATAGAAGCCAACTTGATGCCATGGCGAAGTTTATTCTTTGCCGCGGCAAAGTCTGCAATTTACAGTTTATTAAAACTGTGCGTTTTAACTGTATGGAATGAGTCTTAGGTTTTGGGATCGACTATATAAGTTGGACTTAGTTATTTTAGAGGGGGTTTGACTTTGTTTTGGAAAAGGAAGAGAAAAATTGAAGATTGGAAGTCTTTGGGTTCATCAATTAGGGAAGATCTTACTCCCTTTTCGTTATTCCATCATGTTGAATTCTTTGTTTGCAGCTTTTATTTTGAATTGCTTTATTTTTAGTATGACCTAACTCACTTTTGGGTTAGGATTGGGATTTTATTGTCTAATCAATAAATTGATGTTGCTTTTACATTCTACTGTATAGATTATGTGTTTACTCTTGTTCTTATTGAAATTACTTGTTGAGCATGATGAGTTGAGAAGTGAATCATGTATTAGCTTCTTAGGGTAAATGCCATTGATTGATTGAACGCTAGAGATAGGTTTGAGAATCAATGAAATCAATTTAGGATTCCATTTAGCTTAACGGACTTGGAACTATTAACCTTTAAATTGTTGGGTACAGAAGCTTAATAGGGATAAGTAGGAAAACATAGCCTGAGAAGGTATGTTTTACATGTTAGGGTGTCCGATTTATAATCCTCGCATGTGAATGTAGAAGTAACAGAAATCGTAGATTAATTCATAAAATCTTAGTGAAGTCAAAACCTTAACCGCTTTGTTTTAATTAATATTTCTCTTGAATTGATTTCGCTGTCATTAATTAGCTTTTAAATTACATAGTGGATTTTGTTTTAACTTTAGCTTTATTTTTCTCCCACAAATCCAAACATCTTTCGTTTACTCCAACTTGATACAAAACTAGGAAAATCAATGCTTAACACGCAATCCTCGTGGGAACAATACTCTACTTATCATTTTATTACTTTTTGTGACTAGTGCACTTGCTACACATATGCATGTTTGTCAAAGTAACACATCAAGTTTTTGGCACCATTGCCGGGGATTGATTTGTGTTAATATTGAGTTTTTCTGGTTTTAGCTAGATTGGAGTTTAATTTTAGTTTTAATTATTTTCTAGTTTAATTCAGCTGTTTCTTTTCTGTTCGCTTGTGATCTCACGCTCTCTTTCTTTTTTTGTGTAGTTTATGCAAAGAACTAGACGTCATCTAGTGGTTCCTATTGATCCGGAGATTGAAAGAATCGCAAGAAGACTTAACAGAGAGAGAAGAGAACGAGAAGCAATAGTGATTGAGATAGCTGAAACCAGAACTTTGAGGGAATTCTCAGTTCCCTTCGTTGATGGTTGTGGTCCAAGTATCACTAGACCACTGGTGCAGGCCAACAATTTTGAAATAAAGCTGGCAATCATCCAATTGATACAACAGTCGGTACAATTTAAGGGAGATTTGAAGGAAGACCCAAATTCACACATTACAAACTTCTTAGAGATCTGCAATACCTTCAAATCAAATGGAGTGTCAAACGACGCCATCAGATTAAGATTATTTCCTTTTTCATTAAGGGATAAAGCAAAAGGATGGTTAATGGCATTACCAGCAGGAACAATCACAACCTGGAATGAATTGGCTCAAAAGTTCCTAACTAAAGACTTCCCTCCAACGAAATCTGCAAAGATGAGAAATTATCATTTCTCTAGGAAGAAAATGAATCACTTTATGAAGCATGTGAGAGATATAAGGAACTGTTGAGAAAGTGTCCACACCATGGTTTGCCTATTTGGATGCAAGTCCAAACTTTCTATAATGGGTTGCTAACAAATGTGCAAACAATGGTGGATGCAACAAGTGGAGGAGCATTACAAAACAAGAAACCTGAAGAAGCATATGGGTTACTTGAAGTCTTGGCTAGTAACAACTATCAGAGACCCAATGGAAGAATTCATCCAAAAAAGTCTATGGGTATTCATGAAGTTGATGCTTACATGACCATTCAAGCCCAACTGACAGCACTTCAGAAACAATTAGGAGGTATGCAAGTAAATTCAATTCAAACACCTCAAGTAACATATGATTTTTGTGTAGGTAACCATGCGAACATTAAATGCCAAGTGGGGAACACTTTTGCTTCAGCATCAGAGCAAGTCAATTATTTGGCTGGAAATCAGAGACAACAGAATAATCCTTTCTCCAACATGTAAAATCCTAGTTGCAGAAATTATCCAAACTTGTCTTGCAGCAATCAAACAATCAGAACAATCAGAATCATCAGAATAACCAATGGTATCAAAGAACAATGCCAAACAATCAAATGGGCGTGAATAATCAACGAGGGGATCAAAGAGTTTCGAAGTTGGAAGATATGTTCAGAAAGTTCATGCAAGAAACCACAGGTTTTATGAGTGAGACGCGAGCAAATTTCAGAAACCAAGGGGCATCCATTCGAAACTTGGAAGTACATATAGGTCAAATAGCTAAAAAGCTGAATGAGCGACCTCAAGGTTCCTTACCAAGTAACATAGTGACAAATCCACATGAATAAGCAAATGTAATAACTTTACGGAGTGGAGCAGTCTTGGAAGAGGTTGATCAAAAAGGAAAAGAAGAGATCCCACCAAAAGAAAGGGAAGATTCTTATGAAGAAGTCGAAGAAGAAATCATTGTTGAGGAGGAGCTGAAGAATCTCCGAGAAGAAAAACCAAAGATGCCAGAGATGCCAAAACAAAAGAAGGAAAAAGTATCATTTCCTAAGATACCACCATAATTGGCACATCACACCCCTCTTGTGCCTTTTCCTCAGAGACTCAAAAAGAAAAATCAGGATAAGTAGTTCACGAAATTCCTTGAGGTATTTAAAAAACTGCATATTAACATTCCTTTTGCAAATGCCTTGCAACAGATGCCGAGCTACGCTAAGTTCCTCAAGGACATTCTAGCAAACAAGAGAAAGTTGGAAGATGAGGAAACAGTGATGCTTATAGAGGAGTGCAGTGCCATTCTACAGAAGAAGCTACCTCCAAAACTCAAGGATCCATGGAGTTTTACTATCCCTTGTGTTATAGGAAATATTGCATTTGATAAAGTTTTGTGTGATCTAGGTGCAAGTATTATTCTAATGTCTTTTTCTGTTTTCAGGAGATTAGGGATTGGTGAAGTGAAACCTACAACTGTATCATTACAGCTTGCAGATCGATCCATTAAGCATCCACGGGGCATTGTTGAAGATGTGCTAGTTAAGGTTGACAAAGTCATTTTTTCGGCAGACGTTGTGTTGGATATGGAAGAAGACAAGGAAACTCTTGTCATTTTGGGATGACCATTTCTTGCTACCGAGAGAGCCTTAATTGATGTACAAGGAGGAAATTTGATCCTAAGGGTCCAAGATGAAATGGTGACATTTAATGTATTCGAAGCAATGAAATTTCCATTAGATTCAGAATTAGATTCATGTTTTAGTGTAGATTTGGTGGATAGACTTGTAGCGGATACCATCAAAGAAAACACCTCTCATCTACCTTTAGAAGATTGCATTGCCTAATCCAAAACAATTGATGTGGAAGAGTCGAAGAAGAATGAGTGTGCTAGGTTGTTGGAAGCACTCCAACTGATAGAAACAACCCAAGATCCAGAATTTGGAGAGTTTGACATAGAAAAAGAAAAAGAAAAGGAAAAGGCGAAAACGGAGGAACCTCCTAAGCTTGAACTGAAGCCTTTACCATCTCACCTTAAATATGTGTATCTTGGTGAATCCTTAAGCTTTCTGGTGATCATTAGTGCAAAGTTGAGTAAAGTGGAGGAAAAGAGATTGGTTAGAGTATTACGAGAGCATAAATCAGCCATTGGATGAACCATTTCCGACATTAAAGGCATTTCTCCTTCTCTTTGTATGCACAAGATACTCATGGAAGATGATTTCAAGCCTAGAGGGAACCACAATGGAGATTGAATCCTTCTATGAAGGAAGTGGTGAGGAAGGAAGTGGTAAAGCTCTTAGATGCGAGTATCATCTACCCCATTTCAGATAGTCCTTAGGTGAGCTTCCAAAGAAAGGAGGTATCACTATAATAAAGAACGAAAGTAATGAATTGATACCAACTAGGACAGTTATGCATCGACTACAGAAAAGTAAATGAAGCAACAAGGAAGGATCATTTTCCACTCCCTTTCATCGATCAAATGTTGGAAAGACTGGCAGGGCATGCTTATTGTTGTTTCCTAGAAGGCTTTTCAGGTTATAATAAGATTGCCATTGGTCCTGAAGATCAAGAAAAGACGACATTCACTTGTCCTTATGGTACCTTTGCTTATAGAAGGATGCCTTTTGGGTTGTGCAATGCACTGGCCACATTCCAGCGATGCATGATGTCAATTTTTGGTGATATGGCATAGCGGTTCATGGAAGTCTTCATGGATGACTTCTCTGTTTTTGGTTCTTCTTTTGATAATTGCTTGTCTAACCTTTCATTTGTTTTACAGCGATGTCAGGATACAAATTTGGTGCTCAATTAGGAGAAATGTCACTTCATGGTTCAGGAAGGAATAGTACTCGGTCACCGAATTTCAAAGGATGGCATTGAAGTAGATCAAGCAAAAACGGAAGTGATTGAGAAGCCACCACCACCAGCAAATGTTAAAGCAGTCTGAAGTTTCCTGGGGCATGCGGGGTTCTATAGAAGATTTATAAAGGATTTCTCTAAAATTTGTAAACGTCTTTGCAATTTGTTGATAAAAGATGCTTCTTTTGATCTTAATGATGAATGCATGCATGCTTTTCAAACTCTTAAAAAATTATTAGTTCTGCACCCATTATTGCAGTTCCCAAATGGGAACTCCCATTTGAATTGATGTGTGATGCTAGTGATGTTGCATTAGGAGTGGTTTTAGGATAGTGACAAAATAAGGTTTTGCATGTAATTCAGTATGCTAGCAGGACACTAACCGATGAACAGTTGAATTACACTACTATTGAAAAAGAAATTTTAGCTGTCATTTTTGCATTTGTCAAATTTTGGTCTTATTTGATAGGTGCTAAGGTGATTGTCTACATGGACCATTCAACACTTAAGCACCTACTGGCGAAACAAGAAGCAAAACCCAGGTTGATTAGATGGATCCTCCTGTAGCAAGAGTTCAAATTAGAAATTCGAGACAAAAAGGGGTCAGAAAATGTGGTGGAAGATCATCTATCAAGGATTGAACGACCAAACCAGGGAAGTGAAGAGGAAACTCAAATCAAGGAGACATTCTTGGATGAGAAACTGATGAGAGTTGAAGAAACACCTTGGTATGCAAATTTTGCAAATTACTTATTATCGAGAGTGCTCCCAAACGGCATGACTTTTCAATAGAAGAGGAAATTTTTCTCTGACTTCAAGTTCTATTTCTGGGAAGAACCATTTCTGTATAAAAACCATGCAGATCAAATGATACGTAGATGTGTCCCAGAAGAGGAGATGGAGAGTATTTTAAGGCATTGCCATGAGAAGGAAGTTGGTGGTCACTTTGAAGGGACTAGGACAGTAGCCAAGGTCCTTCAATCTAGATTTTATTGGCCAACTCTATTCAAGGATGCTTTTCGGGTGGTTCAGGAATGTGATCAATGTCAACAGAGTGGAAATATTTCAAGAAGAGAAGAGATGCCATTGAATAACATTCTTGTTGTTGAACTTTTTGATATGTGGGGGATTGACTTCATGGGCCATTTAATTCATATGAAAATATGTACGTCTTCGTGGCAGTGGACTATGTGTTGAAATGGGTGGAAGCAGTAGCATTACCATCCAATGATGCCAAAGTGGTGGTTAACTTTGTGAGGAAGAACATTTTCTCAAGATTTGGAGTACTACAAGCAATCATCAGTGATGGGGGATCTCATTTTTGTAATAGGCAATTTGATGCACTCTTGGGAAAATATGGAGTGAAACATAAAGCGGCTACAACATACCATCCTTAGACCAGTGGGCAAGTAGAATTGTCAAACAGAGAGTTGAAAAGAATTTTAGAGAAAAGAGTTAACGCATCCAAGGAGGACTAGTCACGGAAGTTAGATGATGCATTATGGGCATATCGTACTGCATTCAAGACTTTAATTGGTATGTCTCCATTCCGATTGGTATATGGGAAGGCGTGTCACTTGCCAGTGGAACTCGAGCATAAGGCATATTGGGCAGTCAAACAGCTAAACATGGATTTACAAGCTGCTGGGGAGGAAAGGATGCTGAAATTGAATGAACTTGACAAGTTTCATCATGAAGCTTATGAGAATGCCTGTATTTACAAAGAAAAGACCAAGATGTGGCGTGACAAGCATATCACGAAGAAAAACTTTGAAGTGGGTTAGAAAGTTTTGCTGTACAATTTTAGATTGAGGCTCTTTCCTAGAAAACTTAAGTCTAGGTAGTCTGGACCCTTCATAGTTACATAAGTCTACCCATACGGGGCTGTGGAGATTTCGCATGAAGAAAATAGGACATTTAAGGTTAATGGATAGCGATTAAAGCCATACATTGATGGGGCGTTGAGTTACAAGTCACTACCCGTCAAACTTGACATTCTGGAATGAGGACTTGAGAAAGTCGAGCTTCCGATTGTGAACAAGCGCTTCTTGGGAGGCAAAGCATTCTCATCTTTTTGTTTTAGTTGTTTTAATTTTTTTTTTTTTGTTTTTTTTGTTTTTTTTGTTTTTTTTGTTTTTTTTTGACTTAGGAAATAGTTTAATTTTGTTTGTTTCTTAGTGTTTCAGGTGAATGATCAAAGATTGGAAAGAATCTGAAT